CCCCAAAACCCCAAAACCCCAGTACCATAATTTAGATAAAATATTCAAAAACTCATTATTTAATAATATCAAAAATAGAAAGCTTGAGCGAAATGGGAAAAAATAAAAAGTCATAAGTCTATCATCCTCATATATCATAAGTTAAAAGATAAAAGTAAGATGAAAATGCACCAGCCTTTCCAGTTCATAAGAAAAAATCCTCCAACAAAAAGTAGGGCTCATCTATAAGCAAGCTTTTGGAAAACAATATGGAAGTCACAATAATTGATTACACAGGTTAAGATGTGAAAATAGACGCCTAAGATAAGTATACTGAGCTTGTTCAAGACAATTTAAGCTTCGATTTTAATTCCAAAGAAGTTTTCAACCCTGATAGCAATTGCACTGAAGTTGCCTATAAACTATGGAACTGGTTTCTTAATCCATTATCAATGGAGACCTTTAAAAATGAAATAGTTAATAGATAAAAAGCATTAGTCATTTAGAGAAGCGGTAAGGGCTTCACATTTGATTAATAAGACCCTGAAGACAATATTATCTCACTTAAAATGATAAATGAATACTTGAAAATTGAAATTGAGTAAAAGACTATTGAGTATGGAAAGCATATTGATCTTATTAGGTATGTAAATAGCAAATAATTCCTAATGAATTAGGGTGAAATAGTGGAGTAGGACTACTTAGATGATTTTCTTAAATGCCAAAGAGGAGTTATGAGATTGAATAAAGCTCATGAATTTTCCATCAGTTTAGCTAAGGTGATGAGTTTAACTGATGAAATCATGTCTTCAGATGTCTCTTGCGAGGTCTACATGTAGAATTATCTAAATAATGATTCTTAAAAGAAAAATCAACTCAGTCAAGTTAAAACTAGTAATTTTGATTAGTACATCTTGGTAATTGATGGTGAAATTAGATTTAGATTTGTAAACAGTTAAGATCACTCAAATACTTTATGGAAAGGTACACTAAAGAAGGGTGACTTCGTTTATATCCCTAAAAATACAAGCTATCAAACTAAAACTGTTCTAGATGAAGATGAGGATGAAGAGAGCTCAAATGGGCACTCATTATATCTAGTACTAAGTCATACAAACTAATAATCCTGGTTGAGCGTGATAGATAATGCTATGAAATGTATGAGTTAAAGATAGTTAGCTTAAAAGCAGTTTGTTAACAACCTGCCAATAGATATCTATGAGAGGGAAAGGTTCAATGATAATTTTAAGGAGTACTGTAGTATGATCGATTAATTAAGTTAGACTTTGAAAAATAAAGAGTAATTTGAGAAACTATTGCATAAAAATAGAGTAAAATATCTAATAAATAGGTAAGCACCTTAAGAAATGATTCAGCCAAATGAAACTGAAGAAGGAGAAGAAGAGGAAGAAGTAGACGGGGATGAGTCTATGAATGAAGAAAAATTCGAGGAGATCAAGAAAAAAGCATAAGAGGCTCAGAAAAATTAAAAGCAAGGTTAATAATAGCAGCAATAGACAACAATAGAAAAAGATGATCAAGATTTTAGTGAAGTTAAAATCTGCTCTAGAAATGGAGCATTTTTGAGGTAAAAGCACAATACAAAGGATAACACAAAGAAAAATTTCCTATATTTTGCGACTTAAAACACAAGAGTAAGAGGTGAAACACCAAAATAAAGGATGGAGGTTCCTGATTAATATGCTTAGCATTTAGAGACAATAGTCAAAAGCTATCCAAATTATGTTAAAATCTCAAATCTTAAGACTGAGGACAAAGAAGGTCTACTTGCATTCCTAAATGAGTTAGCCTACTTACAAGTTCTAATTGTTAATTGAAAAAACAAGATATACATTTAAAGATCTCAATATTTATTTTATAGAGAATTTGATTGGATAGTTGATTTTTAAATCCCTAATTAATTAGTCTTAATTTCTTAAAAAACTTATAAATACTTAAAATTAAAATGGAAGACAAGATTTAAGAGATTATTGATATCCTTGGAGACCAATTTTCTTAACTGTAGATTAAAGATGCTTTAGCTCTGACATCTGAAAGCATCGACGATGCAATTGAATATCTACTCAATGATGATTAAAGTAAGCCTTCAACCTTTGAAATATTTACTCTTAAAATTTGACTATAATCAACTAAATATATAGACAGTGGTAAAAAGGAATTATTTACGGAAAATATCATTGAAAAGGACAAAGCTTCATAAGATGTAAATGTGGGGAAATAGAATGATATATAATATTAGCGATAAGATATCAGATAAAACTATGACTATCATTCCTTGATTCTTTCTAATAACTAAGATTTTCTTGAATCTTCTAGCAAGCATCAAAAGTCTAATCAACTTAAAATTATAGAGAATAAAATATAGAACTTGAATACATATGATTTCTTAGGACTTATCTAGCATTAGGATTATAACAGATCTCCATAACGATAGATTGAGGAATCTATGATGATTTTTGAGTATTCTAGCCCAGTTGAATATGAAGTGAGCTTGAGAGAATGCAGAGAGAAAAAGAAAAAAGTTGAACAAAATACTAAACTTTGAATCACCTAAATGTACAAAAATGTTTATGTAATTAGAATTTATCACACAACTTATTGATTATTTTGTTCTGCATTCTTTTAATATTGTTTAAAATATCAATAAAAATCTCTATTCTTGCAAAGCAATGGGGCTAACAGACTGAATGAATACAATGCAATACAAACCCACTGAGAGCATAATTTAACCCAAAAGCTGATCCAATTTGCTTGGAAAAAGTTTGATTTATTGTCATTAATCTTGGGATCACCCCAGTTAGTTATAAGCATGGGATAATACAATGAGGCCAAAAGCATAATGAACTAAAATATTAGTGTTGAAGAGGTAATTGGGAATATTCCTAGTTCTCTTGGAGATTTAACTTAACCATTTACTTCAACGTTGTCCAGATTTTCGGGCTTTGCCTCTTCCATATCTTCAGCCAAAACATATTTTGCATTTTCGCCTATTTTTTTATCATTATCATTCGGACCACCGGATTTTACATTTTTATTGGTTGTCAGTACTGATATTCCAATCAGTGATGAAAATGTGAAAAATCCGCCAATTATTATTTAGGAGACTAAATTTTCATCCTTATATAAAAATGGATTGCACTATTCATCAGGCATAGAAGCAATAGCACTCCAACTCAAAAATACAACGTAGGCTGATACCATACTAGAAGTGAATATAGAAGAGTCTTTTCTTGTCCTTATTGGTATTAAAGCATAAAAAATTATCACAAATACAAGAGTGTAGGTCACAATGACTATTGGGCCCGCGCATTCTCTGAACCAAATGTATTGCATTACAATAAAAGCTATGCTGCCCAGTGTAAAAATGGTAGTGATTGAAATAAGTACTCCTCCAAGGCATCCATTTCCATTTTCAAACTCTCCAACTAGTTTATCATTCAAGGAATAGGCTACTATAATCAGAAGGATGACCTAAATTATTAAATATAGACCTGAAACTATCCTTGCAAAATGTGCCCATCCCCAATAGAAATTATTAGGTATCCAAAACACTGCAATGTAAATTGCTACTACTATTAGGAACTTAATGGTCCAGCAGCCATCATGAAATATTGAAGAGCATGGTATTTTTGGAAGGATAGTCAATAGGATCATCAAATGAAAAATAAAGAGAACAAAACTCATTCTTAGAACTGCAGATGTGCCAAAGCAAGCAGAACCACCTCCTGATTCTTCATTACATTCCAATAAGTAGTCATATTTTTCGAATAATGGTTATAAAGTGAACATCAAAAGAATTGAAATAGCCACCCAAAACGTGTCAAAGAGTACATAACTTATCTTGGCAAAGTTTTTAGGGTTCACTCCACATGCCTTACATGCACAGCAAATCACTCTACAAAATGCTTCTCCAGCGCAGCAAGCAGCCTAGCCAGCACAACAACACAAAATTCCACCCATAATAATTTCCTTTATTTTTTAATTAAAGTTTAATTTTTTCTTTATCTATCATAAAAGTCTAAATTTACTTGCTCTGGGGTTTTGGGGTTTTGGGGTTTTGGGG